TGTGTGTGTGTGTGTGTGTGTGTGTGTGTGTGTGTGTGTGTGTGTGTGTATTATGTGAATCACTGCATGTGACTGATTTTTGGGGATGGGTACAAAAACGTAAAGCTTTAGTCTTTTTGTTTTTCTGTGACTGAAACTTGAACCTCGAACCTGCACATGCAGCACTTTTACTGCTGCTGTCGGCTGTTTTAAGGTTTTACTTTAACCTCTGTTTTCTTCCAGTTTCAGTCAAAATGCTGTTTTGTCTAAACTTTTTCTTTTTTATAAGCATTTTTGAAAATCTTTCAAAAGTTTGTATAACTCACTGTACCTGATAATGTGTAGATCTTTCCTTCATATCAACACAACAGGTGGTTCACCTTCATAGATACAGAGTGGGTTGCAGATTTATAAGCCACTCAGCCCAAATGCTGCAAATGAGATTTCTAACGTCAGCCGTGCTGCCAGGTGGTTTCCAGAGGTTTGGATTGGAACAGCTCTCAGTGCCACATCAGCAGAAACACACTCAGCGAGTTCATGCAGAGGCAGAAGGCCTGATTGTAACTGCAGACTTCCTTTGCTCAGGGTTGCGTGTTCAGATGTTCTGATTGGTTGTCCAGTTAAGTCCATAAACACACCTGGATGCCTGATACAGACAGTGAAGTGTTTCATTCTCAGATCTGGACTCTATAGCATAGAACTCTATTTCAGTCTGAGTTTGTGTCCTTGTGTACTTTATTACTTATTGCTTTGATTTGTTTAAATAGATTTAACACTGAGGCTCTCAAAGCTGCTGTCAGAGCACATGACCGAGGGTCACAGAAACAAACAATGCTGGTAACGTGACTGTCAGACAAAATTTATTTAATCTTGAATTCATTTTTTGCACTAGTTCACATTTTTTGTTTTTGTTTTTAATAATTTCTGAACCTGCGTTAACTGTTTTTGTTAATACTAGGTTTATTCTCCCAAACACAACAAGAGGTTAAACTGGAAAATGTTTCCCGGCTTTTGCGCAGCTAATGTTTTAAAGCATTAGATTTAGTTTTCCAACAGTTATGGGAGACGTGTTGTGTTGTGATGTTTGTGACACTAGATGGCGCAGTTGTTTCAGGCCATGCTGCTCCAAAAAATAAAGGGAACACTTAACACAATGTAACTCCAATTCAGTCACACTTCTGTGAAATCAAACTTTCCCCTTAGCAAGCAACACTGATTGACAACCAGTTTCACATGCTGTTGTGCAAATGGGATCGACAACAGGTGGAAATTACAGGCGAGTAGCAAGAAATCCCCAATGAAGGAGCGGTTCTGCAGGTGGTGACCACAGACCACTTCTCAGTACTTGTGCTTTCCGACTGACGTTTTGGTCACTTTTGAATGCTGGCAGTGATTTCACTCTCGTGGTAGCATGAACGGAGTCTATAACCCACACAAGTGGCTCAGGTAGTGCAGCTCATCCAGGATGGCGCATCAATGTGAGCTGTGGCAAGAAGGTTTACTGTGTCTGTCAGCGTGGTGCCCAGGGCATGGAGGCGCTACCAGGAGTAAAGCCAGTACATCAGGAGATGTGGAGGAGGCTGTTGGAGGGCAACAACCCAACAGCAGGACCGCTACCTCCACCTTTGTGCAAGGAGGAACAGGAGGAGCGCTGCCAGAGCCTGCAAAACGACCTCCAGCAGGCCACACATGTGCTTGTGTCTGCTCAAACAGTCAGAGTCAGACTCCAGGAGGGTGGCTTGAGGGCCCGATGTAATTTTTGTGTGATGTTGTTGTCAGCACATTCAACTATGTAAAGAACAAAATATTTAATAAGAATATTTCATTCATTCAGATCTGGGATGTCTTATTTTTGTCTTCCCTTTATTTTTTTGAGCAATTTATAAAACCTGTAAAGAAAATGAAGAAAACTCCAAACATAGTTGTCTCCAGTGACTGTGTGCATGCATCATCATCATCATCATCACAGAAAGCCAAGTAAAGAAGAGCTGTGAGGGGCCGAGCAGGAGTATAACACAATATAAGGGGAGCTAAGCCAAAATAACTGTTTATGTTTAAATTACACCAACTTTTGGACATGCCCAGGAATTTATATAACCCCGCCCCTTTGGCCTAGTGCACATTTTACCTCAAAACCAGACTGAAAACATTGAACTTTGTAACTTACAAAGGCTCTGCTTACCTTTAAATTAATGATTACAACACAATAGAAATCAACATTTCCTTACTTACTTACTTACTGTACTTTGGATGCACGACATTTGTGTTTTGTTACCTTTAAGAGAAAATGGAAATACTAGGATGGTTCTGTGATTTGAGTTGATGTTATTATAATTTACTGAATCCTTTTAGTCACTCGATGGTTCTGTGATTTGATTCGATCTTTAATTGAAATCTTTTTGTTCTTATTTGAATGTATAGAAATAATTTATTCATCCAGCCTCCATCTCTTAAGTTCATTAAATTTAAATTCATCATCAGAAATGAACCCTTTGGTCTAAGTGTGCACACCACATCAGACCTTCTGTGTGCCTGCAAACCAACTCCAGTGTAGTGCTTATAGAGTGTGGTCCTCAGGCTGGAGCCAATCA